TAGAATGTCAGAAGTAGGTTGAAACTCTTGATTTATGATAAGCCATTATTTAGATGGTATGAAGTTGCCTTGGTTGTTTAAACCCAGCAAACTGTGGTTAATGAGGTCTTAGCAGATATAAAATTCAGATGTTGACTTGTTTTATTCATTGCACAAAACTTGTACAACTTTTACATTATTATGGCTGAGTTCATACAACATACTTGGGCATAAACATTTGGTTATGGAGCACAATTATTGGTCTCAGATAAAACACCAAGTCAAAACCAAATAAACCATGTTATGGATTAAGCCATATTTTTTACAAAAAAAGCAGTGCAGCCTTGCAAATCATCCTGGTTATTTATCCACCATGACTCTATCTCTAACCAACATGGAATGTTAGAAGTTATAGTCCAAAATGTCCAGAAGGCGTTTAATTAGAGAAAGCTACTGTAAATTAAGACCAAAATAGCTAAGATATCATTAAGTTTGTGAAAGTTGTAGAGATAAACAGTTCAAATTGAGAACTACCAGCTATATTCCAGCTCCTTCACTTTTACTTACATGGAACTAGGGTGGGCAACAAACTGAGGACTGCAGCAGTCTCCAACAGTGGACAGAATGGGTCATTTTTTCCCCACCTGTTTTGTCTTTGTTTTAAAAGGAGGCACTGAAGGCTGGGTGGACTGAAGAAGCTTTTTGGATGAGAAGGGAAACATTTTCAAGGAAAAACCAAAAAAAACCCAGTTGCTTTTTGAAAAAACACCTTTGAGACAACCATGACCTGGATGACTGAGAATCTCCATAGACAAATGTATAGGGCTGCATCTTCAGACGTTTGCCACCTTAATAACAAAACAAAAATCCCGCAGCACTTAAAAAACAAATGTATTTGGGCAAAGACTTCTTGTAGCATCATGAACAAAATGGACAATGTAACAACATGGACTATCCATGGCATGCCACCTTTCAAATGGTTATACACTTTCCTTAAGTGCTGATGGAATCTGACAAGCTACTGACGCTCAAAGCTTTAGTTGGTTGCCCACATCTGACAAAACAATTTATTTAATTTGTTGTCAGCATTAAATTCTGGAATTGGAGCACAGTTTTCTATTTCAGCCTCATTTGTAAGATCGGAATTAATTTCTTTTAGTTTTCTCCCAAGCATAAAAACGATTTGCTTTATTTCCTTTACTTTAATTGGAAAAGTTGTTCTAGTTTGAAGACTCAATTACAAGTTGTCTCTTGCTGCCCCCTGCTGGACTGAGTTGTCATACATGTTACTGGAAGAAAGTGCCTAGAAGTATACTTAATATTCTAACAACCAATATGCCATTACCATATTTTGACATAGAAGGGGTATCATAGTAACCAGAAAAAAAGTTTTTGTGCTCTCCCTCTGCAAACCCAAGAACGTGAAGAGTGGTGGAACATTTGTTTTTTTATTCACCCCTGACCCTGCAGCTGCTGTTGAACTATAATTCTCAACACCTAAGCCAGAATGGACTATAGTGTTGGGAATTGTAATTCATTAATAACCAGAGAGTCCCTAGTATTTTTTTCTTTCCATTCAATTGTGTTCAGTTTCTGGAGACTGCCTGAACAATTCCATATAATTTTCTTGAAAGGTTTTTCAGAACTAGTTTGCCATTAACTTTTTCCTAGGGCTGAAAAAATTGGCTGGCACAAGGTCACTCAAGTGGCTTTGTGCCCAAAACTCAAAGACTCCCAGATTCTAGCTTGATGTCTTAACCACTACTACCAACCCCCCAAATCAATACATTCTTCAGAAGAACAGGACACCTGATGACGGTAGATGCTGCTGAACTACATTGCAGACTCTTGCACCACTAGCTATGCCGGTTGAGGCTCCTGGGAAGTGCAGTTTAATAGCACCTGGGAAATTAGGGCTTTCCAACTCAGCACATAGAAACCTGCATGAAATAGCAAGCAAATGAGGCTCATCCTGACAATATTAGGGCCAAACGCTGCCAAACAGAGATTAACTTGTAAACCAAGCAAATTTTAAGCAGTTTCCTTCATGCTATTGAGTTTATGTTAAAAAAAGAGGAAGTAAAGTTACACAACTTTATGGAGAGGTAATTTAAAGCTACCGGCTTGTAACACCTGGGGTGTGGCTCCACATCTTAGAACAGAAAAAAGGTGGAGCATAAAAGCAGTTTTACGTAAAACTGCCCAAGTTTTTAATGCTCTATTAATTCTGTAAGTAGCTTGCTATGGCTGATATATTGTTAAGGGTGTGGTTTTCTAAAATATTGTTTATATGTTTGCTGTAGCTTGGTTTGTGTTATATGTCAATCCCTTCCAAAGAAATTATTCTATGAGATAATATTAGGAATATATTCAATGCACCATTTGGTGAAGAACTATGGTTATGTTTGTTTGGATTTGTTTAGCAATTCATGGACTGTATATGTTAAGAGTGAGAGTATGCATGGTATTAGTATCCTAAATTTATGCTTGTTTACATTTAAAAGTGTCTTATTTTTCTGTACTTCCTACCCTGGACCCTAAATAACTTTCTGTAGTATTTTGCTTGGCCTCAGCTGTGTTCATATGACATACTGACCCATATTGAACATTTCCAATTAGTGAATGTTGTACAAACCCACTTTTTGCACAGTAAGCTCATAGTTCAGTTTGTGGCATGAATTTAGAAATAGAAAACACTTTTATTTAATTGTAGGTTGTCATGCAAATTCAGAACAGAGGGTTTTTGCACTTTTACTGCAGTCTTCTTCAATGAGGCTTTTTTCTTCTCCCTTGAAAAGCAGTTTAGAAAACAAAGTGCTGTGAAATCTAAGCGCTACTAAAAATAAGACGAAAACTTTATTTCTGGTAACTATGGTAACATCTGTTAGGATATTAAGTATATACAGTATGTCTAGGCACTTTAAAACACTCCTTGGCATTGCTACTCACTGGCTATACTCTTGTAATATATTTTATTGGATTATTGGATTAGCTCATTACTGAATCAACACAGCACCAGGGTCACATAATATGGTTTGGAAGACCAAAAGAGGATCCAGTAGGTTGCATTTGGACAATATGTTGAGCTGGATTAGTGCTAATTTTGTTTCAGTGTGTGATTGTGTGTCGTAGCATGTCCTAAGTACTTAGTTTTTGATTCACAGTTCAAGGTGTTTTGAGAACCCACAAAGTGGGTGAATTCAGTACCATGCTTCACAGCATAAGGTAGTGCTTGACTTACAACAGTTCATTTAATGACCGTTCAAAGTTACAATGGCACTGAAAAAAGTGACATAACCATTTTTCATACTTATGGCCATTGCAGCATCCCTATGGCCACATGATTTACATTGGGATGCTTGACAGCTACTCACATTTATGACAGTTGCAGTGTCACAGAATTATGTGATCCCCTTTTGTGACCTCCTGAGAAGCAAAGTCATTAGAGAAACCAGGTTCACTTAATGAGAGTGTTACTCATTTAAGAACTGCAGGGATTCAACTTAAACGTGGTGAGAAAAATCATAAAACAGGGCAAATTCACCCAATACATTTCTCACTTAGCAACACAAATTTTGGGCTCAATCATGGTCATAAGTTGAGGACAATCTGTAATATGAATAGGTAACAAACTGATTCTTAAATAAACAAACTGGATTGGTTTTGCACAACTTTGTCTCCCAGACAATCCAGGTTAAAACTAGAGATGGTTGGCATTTTGTCTGAATGCAGCTACTAATCAACTGTAAACAGTTGTGATCTTTACAATAGGTTTTTAAGGTAGCAAATGCAAGTAGTTTCTACTCCTCTGGTGATGAGGCCCACTTATCAATTACTAAGCAAGTAAGCAAACATCTAGGTTCAAAGTGGTAGAGAAACAGACTGGATTCATACTGATATAATGTGCTTTGCTGATTCTGGCTTAGAAACCGTTTGAATCCATTCATTGTGGTAGCAGAGAACAGTTTCTGCTTTAATCCAATATGATGAATGCACTTATGTATGGCTTATTTATGAACCAGGTTAAATGAACCATGGATCATTGCCTCAGATGACTTTCTTTCACCAAAGCTTTCCAATTTCACAAAAGAAATGAAGCAAGTGCCTATTGGGTCTTTAATTGTCAGCTCTCAGCCAGTGCTGCAGATCTTCAATTACAACTTGCCAGTTGCTGGCCAAGCAATCATTGGCTAGCTATTAGGCATTAACAGGGAGGGTCAGCACTCGATTTCACACCACAAAACTGAACCAAAGGTAAATTGCAAAAACACTTGCCTGCTTTCCCTTGGTGGCATATCTCCTGCCAAGTCAATTCTGTATCTGTCAATCCCTCTACAGAGCCATGCCATCCACCCCCAGGGTGGAATGCTGGTGAGGTGGGCATTCTCTCCAGCAGCTGCAGAAACTATCCCAGGAAAGTTTACTTTTGAACAACACAAGCTGTTTGCAAATAGAAGTTTGCAATTGCATTAATGGACCACCAGGGGGCTCAGTACCCTTTGTAAGTGGACTGGAATTTACATTTTGAATGCAATGTGTGAAGCTGATATGAGAATGCAGCTATTATTCTGCAAGAAGAATAAGCAGCCCTGAAAATGGAATGAATCTGCATAATACATTGGAAATACGTGCTACAGATATGCAAAGTGAGGTTGCTCTGATGAGGCCCTCTCTCTTCCGGGTGCCTCTGGTGAGGGTCAGTCTACCTCAATCAGCCTGCCACTTTGGTGAATAGGGCTTTTGAGCAAGCCTGGGACCTACTTTACTCAAACATCAAAGCATTTTGAAGAGGCACTTCAACCAAAGACTTCAAAAGCTCTGTACACCCTGTTATTTACCCAAGAGAGCTTGGGGAATGAATAGTGCAAAAGTTGATAACATTAATCAACCTGTTTTCCTCCAGATATGTTGGGACCTTCTTAAATTCTCCTGGAGTTCTGAAGTTATCGTACTCTGATAATTTCAGATCTTCTCCACCTTGACATTGTTGGCCCTTCTTATTCCAGATTCACCTAAACAAGATGACTTCGCTTTCCTCAAATTCAAATTCATCTTCTGCTGAAGGAAATCATGTCTCTCTCTTGTGGGGTAAGAATTGTTGGCGGCTAGTAAAATGAACGCCATTTTATTATTAAATCTTGGGGCTGTTTAAAAATGAATTGAGATTATTGGTAGCCAAGCCACTAGATTAGACTGGTCAAATCCCTTCCTCACTATTATCCATTTGGAGCATCTCAGATCATCTCAGGCTACACTGTAGAAATGCAGCAACCAAATACTGATGCAATTTCCCCCCTCTTTTTTCTCCCCAAAAGAGATAAAGATAAATAATTTCATAATATCTCATATCTCCCTTTGGCAATTTACTGAAGTATAAGAATTCTGAAAGACTGCAGAATATTGTAGAATTACTGACCTCAGTCATCTTTTAACTAAGATGGGTGGCAAAACTCCCTCTCTCAAAAAGAAGGGCTTCATATTTTTTCCCCCTCTTTATTTAGAGGGGTGGGGAGAGAGAGAGAGAGAATTGATCAGATTGAGTAAAAAACTCAAGAAAACATGCAAAATACATTTTTAGCTTAGCCCAGCAGGTAAATATATCTTTTGGTAAATGCTATCCTTTTCTATTTTTCTTTTTTCTATTTTCTATATGGTTTAATGATTTCTCTGTATAGGTTGTGAATTGAATCATACCACCCGGAGATGCACAGTGAAAGAAGATGATGACTTATTAGAACACTTGGTATATTTGAGGACAGTAAGTTTCAACAGAAGAGAACCTCTGTAGGTCAGAGTTGAACTTGGTGCTCCCTGAGCTTGGGTGTTTGCCTGCAACCATTTCATTACCTGATTAGGTAATGTCATCAATGCTAGTGAGTGTGAGATCAGATAAACCCCCAAGTGGCCTGAAGAACTCTCAAGAAGTGTGCTAGGACCAGATGGCTGCAAATAAATATGATCCTTCCAACTTCCCCCTCCCAAATCCTGTCAGAACTATTATCTTCATAGCCTCACCATCCTGTCAAAACCAGTGAAGTTTCTTGGATGTCTATAGAGCAGTGGTAGGATTTAAACAATTTTGCTACTGGTTCTGTAGGTGTGGCTTGGTGGGCATGGCTTGGTGGGCGTGGCAGGGGAAGGTTACTGCAAAATCCCCATTCCCTCCCCACCCCACTAACCTGCTTTCCAGCTCCATTCTCCTGTTCAGGGCAACAAAAGAAGACCCAGCCAATCAGCTGGGACTCAATGGGAGGCGGAGAATAGATAGAGGCGGGGCCAGTCAGAGGTGGGATTTGCCAGTTCTCCAAACTACTCAAAATTTCCGCTATTGGTTCTCTAGAACTGGTCAGAACCTGCTGAAAACCACCTCTGCTATGGAGATTCTCAGTCATCTAGATCATGGTTATCCCAAAGGTGCTTTTGGAAAAGAACTGAAAGAGCTGCTTGGATGAGAAGAGAAAGGACTTCAAGGAAAAATAAAGTTTTTGAAAAAGCACTTTTGGGACAGCTAGACTTGGATGACTGAGAATCTACCCAGACATTTAGTGACTGTGGGTTTTTTCCCTGTTTATACAGGTAGTCCTCAACTTATGATTGCAATTAGGCCCAAAATTTATGTTGCTAAGTGAGAAATTTGTTAAGTGAGTTTTGCCTCATATCTCAACTTTTCTCGCCACCATTGTTAAGTGAATCAATGCAGTTCTTAAATTAGTAATGTGGTTGTTAAATGAATCTTTACTTGTCAGAAGGTCCCAAAGGGGGATCACATGACTCTAGGACACTGTAACCATCATAAATGTGAGTCAGTTATCAAACAACTGAATGTGAATCATGTGACCATGGGGATGCTGCAATGGTCATAAGTGTGAAAAATGGTCATAACATAAGTCACTTTTTAAGTCCCTCTGCTAAACAAATAATTCCCTCAACACTGTCCAACTATTTACAAAGTCTGCACTATGTTACTGTTAATCTTCTCATCACTCCTTATCGCGCCTCCCCACCCACGTGTGACTGTATGACTATAACTTTGTCGCTTGTATCCTTACAATCTATATTGACTGTTTCCTAGTATGATTTGATTGCTTATTGTACCCTATGAGTATTATTAAGTGTTGTGCCTTATGATACCTGATGAATGTGTCTTTTCTTTTATGTACACTGAGAGCATTTGCACCAAGACAGATTCCTTGTGTGTCCAATCACAGTTGGCCAATAAAGAATTCCATTTCCATTTCCATTTCCATTTCCTTTACCCTTTCCCTTTCCCATTCCCATTCCATTCCATTCCATTCTATTTTTTTCAGTGCCATTGTAACTTCAAACAGTCACTAAATGAACTGTTGTAAGTTGAGAAGTACTTGTATGCAGATAGTAAAACAGTTGCAAGCAATCAACTAAGTTCAGGGAGCATCAAGATTTCCAACAATAACTTTCCCATATTGTTCCAACCTCTAGACATAATTCTTCACATTTTATTGGAAAGTTTTCCTTTTCATAAACTAATTATGGGGAATGCGTATCCTTCCAGATTTTCATAGATACCAATTCCTACTCTCCCCAGCCAACATAGCCAATTGCAAAAAAAAAAAAATAATAATGACGGGAGCTGTAGTCCAACAATGTTTGTGGGGGCCTTAAACAATGCTTCTGTTTTTGAAAATGCTCCCCATTCTGCATTCTCTGAAGAATGGTAGACAGTGACATTCAGGAAGGTTTGTGGAGGCTCCGGGACAGCCCTGAAAATCTGTAAAAGCTGCTACATAAATGCTCAGAAAGGACTGCAGGTTGTTTTTTGTTTCTTATCATCAAGGTGTCCCTGGGGGAAGATGCTGATGATGAGACCCATGTGGTGGCTGTCGAGTCCAGAAACATGGCCAGTGCTCCTGAGCCAGTACCCATTGTCACACTGAAACATCCTGTCTTACCAATGGTAATGCATAGGGGAATGCGGGGGGAGGTGTTATGTTATTTTAAATTTATATTAAATAACTTACACTATTTTAATGTAATTTATATTCTGTGCATACTTCATAAATGGTTCAGAAGTCTTCCTAACAATTTGGACATGTTTTGGAGAGGTAGTTTTCTAGGCACTCATATCTTAAAGTGCATTAGGGAGCTATCGACTAGGCAACATCTGATGTAAAATTATTTGGACATGTTGTCCCAGCTAGTAACGTAACGTAACGTAACGTAATGTGCAGAATGGAAATAGAAATAGAATAGAATAAACAGAACACAACCGAATGGAACACAGCAGAACAGAACACTTTATTGATGAAGTGTGGTTAGACACACAGAGTAATTTGTCTCTGGTGCAGAAGTTCTCAGTGTACGTACAAACAGCAATGTAATATATCAACAGCATTCTGAAACATGCCATCTGTTTTTTATAACAGGTGTGTCTTGATGGCTTTGAATTGCTTCCCCCCGTTTCTTTTATCCTAAAATCGGGAATGGGCCCAGTATATCTCCACGGGCAGCACCTGATCTGTAAGTAGAAGCCATGTCTTTTCAGTGCATGTGTGAGAATAGACTGGGAAGTAGTGAGTAGATAATTACATCAGAAGATGTGACTTGGAGTCTGTGTGTAGAAATTCAAACCACCAGGAGATGTAGAGGACTGAATCTATATATCTAGATAACAACTAAGAATAGTTTTTTAAATTTCATGTAAAAATATACATGGTATGGGGAGAATATATTTGTATCTTCAGAGGATATATGTAGCAGCAGCTAAAACACCGTGACAGTTAATCCATGCAATTTTTGTTGTGAATTAATGATTGCTCAATGCAACATTGGCAATAGCTGGATACAGCCTCCAGATACCAGTGTAGGAATGGAATGGAAAAAGTAAGTATGATTGACACAATTAATATATGAATCTATGATGGCTTTTTAAGACCATGCATGTCAACCTTCCTCAACCTGAAGTCCCTTAAGTGGAGCAAACCCTTAATCCCATCATCACAAGAAAGTTATGATTGATGTTTTGGTCTAATTACAAAATTGGGAAAGGCTGATATGTATTCTTTGAGGGGTTATCTGTAATTGCGTTATGAAATAGCACTATCTAGACGTTGCTTTCTTTTTTAAAAAAGAAATCAAAGGTTTTTGGTGGGGGAGAGATTATCAATTGAAGTGATAGACAGGAGAAGGAGTGTCTAATCTTTTCCAAAGTTTGGGCTTTTTTTAAAAAAAACCACCATGTCTTTGTAAGCTGCTTCTCCACACTAACTGCAACTGACAAATACAGGCATGCTGAATTTATGAGTATGAAAAGAATGGTTAAACACCCCCTGTGTGATCTAATTTGTTCAGCTAGCTGGGTTTTAGGATATGGGGAAAAATCATTATTTAACTTACTTTCTTGCAGGCATCTGTTGCTTTTTTTTTTCTCCCTTCTACAGGGAAATGTAATACTTTATTCTTCATCCAGTTTATGAACCATTTGTAAACTTCCTATTCAAAGCAGTGCATAGCTAAACCAATAATCTAAACGATATTGAAATTTAATGTGTTTTCTTGCTAAGGAAAGTGACCTACACACTCAGATTTTGAGTTGTTAAATGTTAACAGCTGTACAAACTGTAATATTTAAGACGAACAAAAATTTTAACATTTTACAAGCAAGTAATACCCATGCATGTGTGCCTTATAAAATCATACCATGCAGAAATCAACATCCTTTCTCTTCTTCAACTGGTTTCAGTTTATATGTTAATTTTTCTAACATTACTTAGATCCTTATTTTAGATATTTCCATGATTTTGTTCTTATTGCTAGTAATGAAAACATGTCAATAGCACCTTTCACATTGGTATAGAAGAACAAGTCAGGTATCTTTATACAGTCTTATCTATGAAGCGATTATTTTTCGTTTTTTAACTGAAATTTTTACTTTATTCAAAGCTTAAAATACAAAATGCCAAAATATTTTTAAAAAGCAAAAGAAGAAAAAGCGACACAACAAAGAAGACATTTTAAAAAGTGTCTTAAAAATAAAATAAAAAAGACTAACACTCTTGCATTTTATATATCAATTTATTTTATTTAATATTTATTAAATTTAATATTTGGTCAACTGGAAATATTGCTAGGTAAAGACAGACCATGTACTACAAATATAATAAAAGGGATTAAAACAGTATTGAAGCTACTATTGAGAGGTTTTGCTATGAGGAATGAAACCAAGAGTGGGTTAGAAGGGCATCCTGAACAACCCTTTACATATGAATAAAAATAAAGTTTGAAATTCAAATTCATGAACCTTACTCCTAAAATCTGAGACTACTCCTATGAAACCTGGATTGGACAACCATTTATTAGGGGCCTGGAGCATATGCAGAACAAATTGGGTTTGTCTAGTCTAGTGAAAGGAAGCACTAGGGATGACATGATAGCAGTGATCCAATATTTGAGGAGCTGCCACAAAGAAGAGCGGTCAACCTATTTTCCAAAGCACTGAAAGGCAAGACAAGAAAAATGGATGGCAACTAATCAAGAAAAGAAGCAACCTAGAACCAAGGAGAAATTTCCTAACATTGAGAACAATTAACCAGTGGAATAACTTGCCTTCAGAAGTTGTGGGTTCTCCATCGCTGAGGGCTTTTAAGAAGAGAGTGGACAGCCACTTGTCTGTATTGTATAGGGTCTCCTGCTTGAGCAGGGGATTGGACTAGAAGACCTCCAAGGTCCGTTGGTTATTCTGTTATTCTCTGCTTTCCTCCCAGCCTTTTTAAAAAAACCCAGCTTTAGCTGTCTTTGTGACATCATGCTGCTCTGGCTTCCATTCTGCTGCTCCTCCCCATGGATTCATTTTAACTGTCACAGAACTCTTGTTGGTGCTGAGGACGGTGGCTGAAATAACGGTGGTCAGAGGAAGGTTTACCAGCTGCCTCCTTAAGGGTACCGCTAGGCACGCTGCTTTCAGACATCTCTTGCTGGTGGTCCAGAGCGTTTTTGGGTGCTAAGGGAAAGGAGGGGATGCTCTTTAAAGGGGCCCAGTGGTGGTGGATGTTATGTTTAGTACTACCTTGCAATTCTCTCCTGCAAGTGGAAGATGACTCTGACTACGAGCCGACAGATGATGATATTCCAGATGATGCTGATGTTGATGAGGATAGTTTTGATGAAGAAGAAATACCAAGTCCGGAGATGCCAGCTGTGAGTTAGGTTGATTTTGTGGATGATGGGTTTCCATAGGCAGGGTGGATGGATTGATAAAGTTCAGTTGTGCTAAGTTTCTTACTTTTGCAGACTTTTCTACCACCTTTAAAAAAAATCTAAAATCTATCAACCTATATTATTCCCAGTCCAGAGTTATGTACAGGTAGTCCTTGACTTACAACAGTTTGTTTACTGAATGTTCAAAGTTACAATAGCATTGAAAAAAATGACTTGTGACTTTTCCAGTAGCCCCATGATCATGTGATCAAAATCCAGATATTTGGCAATTGGTTCATATTTATGACCATATTGCCATGTCCCAAGATCATATGATCACCTTTTGTGACCTTCTGACAAGCAAATTCAATGGGGAAGTCAGATTTACTTAACATCTGAGTTACTAACTTACCAACTGCAGTGATTCACTTAACAACGGAGGCAAGAAACATGGGGCAAAGTTGTAAAATGGGGCAAAACTCACTTAACAAATGTCTCACTTAACAAGAGAAATTTTGAGCTCAATTGTGGTTGTAAGTTGAGGACTACCTGTATTTAAGATAGTTATATATAAATTTTCTAAATAAATAAAACTTATTCCTTTAATATATTAATGTTTGCATCCTGATGCTTAATTGCTCTCCATCTACATAAAGAGCTCATCACCACAATCTCTCTAATTGGCCTTAGGGTGCTATTGAGTTCAAAGACAGCAAACTATAATAATGTCTCTGCAAGTCATTGCAAAGATAGGGTGTCTTACATACTGATTACTAATCAGGAGACCGAAAAAGTACATGTAATTTCTCATATGCTAGTTGAAAGGGAAGGACAAGAGTTAGTGTCTGTCCTAGACAATATGGTGACCACAGAACTCACCAACTTCCCTGTTTCTTCTGGCTTTAGGCTTTTTTTTTGTTTACAGTTAAAAATAATAATGGAGCTAGTACTGAGAAATAATGAATCAGTGTTCAGCATCCTCCTTATTTCCAAGAAAGTCCCTAGATATTGTATAATTTTCATTGGCTTTCTTAATAAATAAAACTGGTGAGTGGTTTTCAATAGCATTGCCAAAAAAGTGTTCATCTACTTAGGAAAAAAACAAGTAGATTTGGTTCCACTGGTTTAGCAGAATGCAACCTAGGGGAGATAGGGGCAATTTAATATAAAGATGGATAAGCCACATTCACCACAGCAATTATTTATGACCAAGGAAACAAATTATCAAGACTAGTTCTTAAAATTCTAGCTTTCCCTCTGGTAGAGCATGATTTTTCCTTGGCTGCCTTCTTTGAGATGGAAAAGGAATGTTCTTTGTATAGACTATGAAGTTCATTTTAACATAGGTAGTATTTGATGTAGTATTAAGGCATCAGGCTAGAATCTGGGAGGCTGTGAGTTCTAGTCCTGATTTATTTTTATATTGCCTTTATTATTTTTAACAATAACTCAAGGAACCAAGGATGCCTAATTATCCACCCTCCTCCTATTTTCAACACAACAACAATTCTGTGATGTAGGTTGTGTGAGTGATCTTTGAATTTCTTTTCCATAGGAAGAGACATCAAATCAAATTTCCTAGCTGCAGCAAGTATTATCTGAAGGAGACCTGCCAAAGAATCGAGTTTGGATTGGTTCCTGCTGATGGATTATTCTAAAGAAGCCTGATTAAAAATGTATTGCAGTAAAAGCAATTGTTGCTTGTGGGTCTACCATAGTCTCCTTTTTGGATGGGTGGTTGGGAAAGGCAGGTGCTAAAGATATCACCAGTGACTATTTTTTTTTTGATAGTGACTCAAGCCAATGTTATTTATCAGACGCAAGAAAGCATGCTGTGGAAAGTAGGTAGCATTTTTTATTGCCCATATTCATGAACAATGGTGGTCATCATCTAAGTCTAGGGCCCCATTTGGCAAAATGGGTAGGGCAGTCCTAATCACAGCAGGACATACTCAAGATACAGATGACCAGCCTACATTCCTTTAGATTACCTTCTGTGTGAATTGAAGGAAAATGTTTATAACTGAAATAAAACTGCCTTATGTTTTCTTTTAATTCAGTCCATGACTATATCCTTGTCAGTTACCAATGTTCCCCCTATGATATTGGTCTGGAGAGATCCTAAGCATAGATCTAATATTTATAATAGGATATGCCATACTATATGATATAAGCTAAATAAAGGGTTGCTACATTCTCAGGCATGGCTCCTAGAACTCCACTTGTCCAGCTCATTCAATTGGACAAGAACCACATAGATTTTAGCATGGTATCTTTAATGCTTAGCTAGAGGTCAATAAACAATGTTGAAACTGTCCGAGAAGGCTTCCTCCCTCCCCCGCTCCCCTCCCTCCCCTCTTCTTGGAATGAGTTGAAATTCTTCTTCCCAGACTTTGTGTCATTTAAGAGAAGAACTGTCAACTAATGTGTCTACTTTTCATTGGTCTATTCTTCTTTCCATTTCTTCCCCAACATCTTCACCATTTCTCATCCCAAACTAAGTTTATCCCAGGAATGCACAACCTGAGGTTCTATAGGTAATTAAAAATAGTAATTAAACATCTTTCTCTTCAATCCAAAGGGAAATTTTCCCCTTTATTGTTCCTAGTAGATTAAGAACCCTGTTGAATTAAAATTCTGTTCCCATGTAACCTATTAAATACTTCTAAAAGCATCACTCTTGGCATTGCCCAGTAATTGGCATTTAACTGAGTGCTGGCCACCTGACCACAAAGGCAAGAAACAATACAATCTTAGTTTCATTGTGAATAAACAACTAAGTCCCATCTAACATTAAATCCATCTGCATTAGTGGCAATATATTAAGAACAGCAAACTGGTTTAGAACATGATGTCTTGATAGACCAACTAATGTAGTGTTCTATATTTTGATTGGGGTAGGGTGTCTGTAGCTTCAACACTTTGGATAGGAATCACCTGAATTTGTACTACAAAACATCTATTAAAAATTGTGGAAGTTTGCCATTGGCCAATGATAGGGCTATTGTAAGCAGAATGCTAGGTAATTATGTCTTGGATTCCTTCTTCTCTTAGAATTTGGAGCCAGCAGCTTTGAGAATTTATGTTGTTGTAATCCCAGTAGTTTCTCAATGTGTCAATTCTGAGAAAGTCACCAAAGGAGATGGAGCTTAAAGACATGTCTTACAAAGTATATGGGCTGGGCTCATATCAGTTGCTGTACTAAAAATCAATCAAACCATGTTATGGTTGAACACAATTTGTGAACAAGGCCTAAATCTAAAGCTAGGGCAGTGATATATGTGGAATTAGGATTGCTAGCATTGCCAGTCAACCTTGTGGTACAGATGAACAAGTATATGTTCATTTTTGCAGGATAGCATGACTGATAACCATCTGATGCATTATCTTTTACTTAGTTCAGAATGTTGAAGGGCAAATATATTTGGTTTCCCAGGAAACAGTTACCTTGGGAACTCTGCAAGCTGTACTAGAAATTGGTAGACCAGTTTTTCAACAGAACAATAGTCTGTCTGAAAAACCATCTTAGTCTTAGCTAAACTGTGCGATGACAACTCTTTCTGTCTTCTTGGATGTTCCTTTGGCCACGGCAGTAGATTTTCCCTTAGATGTCTTCAGGGAAGATCCCTCACCCCAAAAAGTGTGCCTTGGACATGCAGGTAAACCAGTTCTTGCTCAGATATGAATAACCCTGTTCGTATTGCATTCCAATTTGAAAGAAATCTCTATTGACAGACATGTATATGCTGCCCTATTAGATACCACAGTAACTAAGGTTTGTGGTTTAGTATATTGTCCAAAACTGAAGCAGCCTTATTTTGATTCTCTGGTGATTGGGAGAAAAGAAGATCATAATTCTGCTTTGGGCACAAAGCCAGCTGAGTGGCTTTGGAACGGTCCCTTTCTCTCAGTCCTAGGAAGAAGAAGGCAAGGGCAAACTACTTTCAAAAGTTGAGGTAATTGCCAAGGCTCAATATTGACTCACACACACTAGGATTTATAATCCACAACAAACTTTGGTGATAGGATTGAGTTTCGAGAAACCACATGGTAGACATTTCTTCAAAGCGCCTGAGAGCAGGACGTAATGGGTGGGAAATTATTAGAAGATCTTTAAGAGATCCAACCTAGAATTAAGGAGAAGTTTCCTGACTGTGAGAACAATTAATCAGGAGTAGCTTGCCTAAAGAAGTTGTGGTTGCTCTGTTACTGGAGGTTTTCAAGAGATTGGATGACCCCTTTGTCCTGCTCAAGCCCAGGGTTGGACCAGAAGACCTTCAAGTTTTCCAACCCTGTTATTTTATGTCCTATTTCAGATTTTTATCTCTAAACAGTACACTCCCCTACAAATTGGAGTGTTTCCCTGGGAAATCATGTGAGAACGGCAGTCTTTCAGAATCACAATGAGTATCTGATGAATGTTTAGTTTTTAGGATAAAATAGGTATGAAGATATGGTGACAATGTTGTGCTGTAGTCCAGTGGTGGGATTCATATTTTTTTACTACCGGTTCTGTGGGTGTGGCTTGGTGGGCGTGGCAGGGGAAGGATATTTTAAAATCTCCAGTCAGAAGTGGGATTGGCCGGTTCTCTGAACTACTCAAAAATTCCGCTACCAGTTCTCCAGAACTGGTCAGAACCTGCTGAATATCACCTTTGCTGCATACAACATTAAATGCAATGAAGAAAATAATATAAAACCAACACAGAAAGCAGCAGAGTACAATGGAAAATATGAAGCACTAACAGAAATAGCAAAATGAGAGTTTCAGCTGGTAAAGACTATAACCTAGATATGAGACAGATGTCTGTAGGAAGGTCATTCAATGGCAAAGGCCCATTTTGTGATCACATGAGATTAGTATTTCTTTATTTTGAATATTATGGTCAATATCTACATTAAAATAAAGCATGTCTCCATGAAAAGGGAACTAGTGTTAAAATTCGGGGTCTAATTAACCAGGAAAGAATCTTTATCCTATGCTGTGTAGCTACAGATTGTCTTCACTTAGTGTCCGTTCAATGTTACAGCAGTCTTTATGATTCAGATTCAAAGTTCCAACTGCCATCTCCCCCATATGGTCACATGGCTGCATTGTAGATGCTTGGCAACTAGTCTGAACTTACAGCCTTTTGCAGCATCCTGTGACTGCATGACCACAATGTAATTATTTTTGCTGGAGCAGCCCACAAGCTCTTCCCTTTCACTAGGATTGCCCCTGGTGAAAGGACCGGTGGCACGGCCAAACTCTCTCCTCCCTTCATCCTATCCTGGGCATGGAGGGAGGAAGGGAGAAAGACAGGGAAGAAGGAAGGAAGGAAGGAAGGAAGGAAGGAAGGAAGGAAGGAAGGAAGGAAGGAAGGAAGGAAGGAAGG